TACTGAGACTTCCTTGTGAGCTCAATATGAGATCAAACAACGGATATCAGTTCCGGTGATTTCCTCATAAGGCCAAAAATGTAATCGATCTGAATAGGTTGGACCAGCCTTTCTACTGACAGATCGATCAGTCTGAAATCCAGAGTATTTGTATCTTCAGATAGTCTTATTTGATGTATATCAGTACCATCTCAGACCATGACAAAGTAAGAAAACTCTAATTAAATTTTTGATCTCGATTTTGATCATAAAAATAAGGATAGACTCATTAAATCTATATTTGTTATTTGAATGATTATCAAATTTCTTTCTACTTTTTTTCTTACATGATGAAGTTTATAATATAAACCACATGCATTACAAACAGGATCACCATCATTATTTCGTCTCCATAAAGTTGTAGTTTGTGTTTGACAATTGGCACATTGAAGACCTGATCGTCTTGAATTTGATACATTCTATCAAAAATTTCATATTTATTTATTATAAATACATTAACCAAAAAAAAAAAATGAATCTACTTGTTTATTGTTCGTTGCAGAAGTTGGCTTATTCTAAAGATGATTAGAAAAAAAACAAATTATTATTTCATCTCAATGAATAATTTACTGAATCATTTGTTTTAATTGTTGCACAAGATCTATCAGGATTTCCAAGTGCTAGTGAAGATAAAACTTTAGTTGATGATTGTGAAAGTGGAAGTGAAAAAGAATTATCTATAACAGATGATCGAGGTTGATCGTCACCTTCCTAAATTAAGCCAAAAAAGAAACTTGTGAATAAATATTTTTTGTTGAAAGAAAAGAACAAACGAATAAAAGAACATGATTTATGTTGAGCTTTATCGAAGTCACTGATGATTTATTGATTAGAAATTCGAGGTAAAATTGTTATTGGACCAACAATTGTTATCTGTTTATTATCCTCTTCATTTGCTGTTGTTTCATTTAAACTAAAATCTATTTAAACAAAAATAAATGAAATATAATAAGGGCATCTATTTAAGTGCTAAGTTAAAAAATATAAATGCTAAGTTGATTTTTGCTAAATAAAATTTGTATTTGCTAAGTTAA